GTTTTAAATTTTACATTATATTTTTAAGTTTGTTTGATATATTAATTTAGGTTATACATTTAACACTATAATGAAGTTATTGACAATTCAAGAAGTCTTCCAATTATGATAATATTTATAATTAACTAGAAAGGTTACCCCCGCTACGCGGGGGCCAGAAGCTTTCAATGTTGTTTCCGAATCGATAAATATGACAGACATAGAAAGTGTAAGGATGAAAAGTTCGGGCTTTACCCCGGACCGTTTTTTTCATGTTTTTATGAAAAAATGTAAAAGTTTTGACTGCAAGAATTAAAGGGGTAGGAATTAGCAACTTTTTAAAACCGTTAAAGTTTTGTGGCCAAACTTTAAATATTAAAAGGTTCCAAAAAAGTGTAAAAATATTGATTGCAATGACCAAAAGTGTCAAAATGGGTAAAGAATGAGGAGCAAAGTTGCCAAAAAAAATCCAAATTTAGTATTCCTAACTTTGAAGCCCAACAATAATACAGGGACCAATTCTGCCAAAAAAAATGACAAGTTCACTATTCCTTTTCTTTATAACTTTAATATATATATATATATATATATATATATATATATATATATATATATAAAATAAGTTGGAGGTGTCCATGTTTAACATAACATAAGTTGGAGGGCCAAATTAGTAAGTTGGAGGGCCAAATTAGACAAAAAAAGGGGTTGTTTACTGTTAAAACTTTTGATAACTTTAATATATATATAATAATAACATATTTCAGTTAAAAAATATATTATAGCGAAATATGAAAAGTTGAGAGTTTCAAATTGATGTGGTGAAAGGAAAAATATTTTCTTTATAAGTATTGTATGACTAGGCGAATACTCGCACGTTGCGCAGAATACAACAATATATTTGAAATCTTTATAAATATATATTTTTTAAATATATCAATGACATTGTTGTTAGATCTTATATAATAAATCTTATAATAAGTTGGTATAAACATTGTTTGTTTTGAATTATATGATAACGTAGACATCTTTTAAAATTCTATAATCTCAATTATCTCAATGGCCTCTACCTGCAGATTACTCATGAATAAAATTAAATATAATATATGGTTTAATGATATTTATAGTTGTTGTTATGATTAATTAATTTTAAAATGTTTATTTGCTTAAGATTTTAACTTCTATCATTGCAATTATTTAAATCATCAAGCATCGTTTTTGTTTTTAAAGTTAACAATATAATTTTTTTATATAATTGTTAGGGGTGTCAAACCCAACAAATAAAGGGGTACGATATACTCCAAAATAACACTACTATATTGCACTAAAAGGTAGTACAAGGCAAGTAGGGTCGATCCACAGAGACACGGGACAATTGGTCTATACCTCTTTGCATAAGGTACTATGGTCACCAATAGTAAAAAGATGGGGGTTTAAAACACAATGATTAAACAAACAATTAAAAACATATGTAATCAACTAAATGAGTGAATTAAATTCAGAATTTGTAAGGATTCTAACTCTATGTATGATAACTTAGCAATGCGATTCCAAGACAACATGATATTTGCTCAATTCTATCTAAGTTGGTACTTGAAAGTGTTAACAAGCTCTAACACTTCCCATTCACCACATTAATTAACCAAAACAAGCTCTTTGATTAACCCTAACCTTACTAACCTAACCTAAACACGTTCTTAGAATTAGATTGAAAGATTGCATTAAACTTTATGTGAATGTTCCCAACAACATCCAATACTCCTCACAAGCTCGGGAGCGTAAGAGTGTGTGAATAAGATTTACACTAAATTCATTCAATGGAAATCAGTTTAGTGCTTGTTACTTGTTCAATTTCACAAAACAATTACGGATTTTGTAAAAGAGATAACTTGAATGACCTAACCCTAATTTAAATGACCAATAAGAATCACAACTAGAATCAAACATTTTATTGAAGCAAAATCAAATTCACTAGATAGAACTTAAAAGCAAACATCAAGTCATATGATTGAAATCACAACCAAGAAGTCAAGACATGAAGTTGGAGAAACTAGGGTTCTAGCCACACATGGCTAGAACAAGATCAAAAGTTAAAAAGATGGAAATAATGTGCAATTACAACTTACAAATACTAGAAATAATGTTTCCAAATGATTACTGATCAAACCCTTGCAAAAACCTTCGAAATCCCCTCTCCAAATGTGCTATGATATGTTGTGTGTGTCTAAAAATGACCCTAATCCCGAGATATGAAAAATAGGAAAAACTGCCAAAAGGCAGTTTTTGGGTCGAACGCGGCCCGTGTCAAAATAGAACAAATCAACACGGGTCGTGTTGAGTGAAATTTGGTCTTCAATCCTCGATTCCAACCCCTAAGTTCGATGCTCAAATTTGCTCAGCAGGGCCAACACGACCTGTGTCAAAATAGACTAAACTGACACGGGTCGTGTTGAGTGAAGTCAACAGCCCCCCCTTTTTGGTCAACACGGCCCGTGCCCAAAATGCAGTGTAAATCCAACACGGGCCGTGTACTCCTCTGACTCCGAATCCAAACTTGATTTTTCCAACTTTTTCGTTCTTCGCCCGATCATCCCGAAATCTTCACCAATGCTTCCCGGCACCTCCCAAAATGCAGTGTAAATCCAAAATGTGCAAATAAGGTTGTTCTAGAGACTAACATGAATATGATGAAATGCAAGACAAATGAAGAACAATTGTGCTAAATATATGCATAAAAGGGGTTAAAAGATGTGCAAAAGGTGCACAAAATGCACCTAACAATAATGTTACTTTTAACTATTGTTGTTGTAAGTATTTTAAATTAATGTATTTAGAAAATCTTAATCAATTTAATTTGGTTTCAAAAAGTTAAACTTTTTTAAATTTTATTTGACAAATATTGTTAATTTCTTTGATTGTAATTATTTATAACAACAGACATTGTTTTTGTTTTTAAAGATAACATTATAACTTTTGATATAATATTACTTTTAACTATTTTTATTGTAAGTTATTTTTAAGCTACTTATTTGAAAATTCTTATTGATTATAAAAAATAGGTTCATGTTTTTTTATTAATTTAGGATTACAATTTAGGTTTAACACTATAATTTATAACTTTTAACTATTTATAAATAGTCTTTTGATTTTTTTTTAAGTTTAACTGAAATTATGATTTAAGTTAACCATTTAACATTATATTGAAATTAATAATTTAACTATTTTGCATAAAATCATAAATTATGCAAAAGTTATAACTTTAAAATGACAATTGTTCACATACGACAATATATTTAACTAATAAGTTAACTATAATATTTAACTAATTAGTTTAATTAATTTATAATTAAAATTTAGTTTTTGCATTAATTTAACATTATTAACTAATTTATAATAATTATTAGAAAGAAATTGAAAAGTCATGGAGGTTTCAAATACATGTGGTGCAAGTAAAAACACTTTATAAGTATATATAGATAGATACATAGATATAAATTTCAAGTTTAAGATATTTGTTGTTGTTGTTAAGAATAAATTTAAAAAATTAAATATCCTTATATTTTATTTATTATCCATCTTTCTATCATTTTTCGATGATGACGACTGTAATAAAAATTTATAAGTAAATATGACAAATGTGATAATTTAAGTATATAAGAAGATAATAGCAAAAAATAGAAAGATATTTGGTTTCTCATAAGTGATTTTTTATCATCTCTGTTAACACTTTTACGAAAAGATTATATATGTCTACTAGGTGTAAAACCTGTGTATTACACGGATAGAATAAAAAAATATTAAATATCAATGTGTAAACAATAAGTATTTTTTTAAAATAAAATTTTGAAATAAGAAATGATGAAACATATTAAATGCAACTTACTATCACATTTATTACATTTAATACTTTATATATATATATATATATATATATATATATATATATATATATAAAAGTATTATGTGGTTTTCTAATTTTAAAAACTGAAAAAAAACCTAAAGATTGACATGTATATATTATTTATTTAAAAAATATCACAAAATGATAAATATTAAAACTCATAAGAGATTGACATGTGGTAAAATAATATTCGTTTATTATAGTAGATTAAATATATACTTGTGCCCTAATAACCATGTCAATTAGATATTTTAGTTAAGTATTGAATATTTAAAAGAATATCATATTTTTAGTATTTTTCATGTTCCATCTAATTAGTCAAAAAAATCAATTTTTAATTTAGACTACTTAAGTAATTATTATTGTTAGCGTTTGGAATTACCTATTTTAAGTGTTTATTAGTTTATTATACTCTCTATGTTATAAGTATTTATAAGCTTTCAAATTGCAAAAATTAACTACAGTTTATTAGAAATTGTACAGTTAATAAACACTTTTACCCAAACTATTTCATTATAATTTGTTTTAAAATATTTGTTAGAGATCGAAACCATATTACATTTTATCATTCTTTTAACCCTAATTAAAAGAGTTGATTAATATTTCAAAGGTTAGAACATAGAACTCGATGTTTCATTTTAGCAATAAAACCCAATATTTAAATAACTTAAACACCATATATTTTTATTAAAATATGTAATTAACAGTGTCAACTTTAATATTCATCTTATCATTTATCTTAAAGATAGAATAAATTCGTTCTCATCTAAGAAACTTACAACTTCTTTATTGATACACGTCACTGTCATAGTAAAACCATTTGACAAAGAATAAAATGGTTTGATACATATTATAATAAAAACATTTAACCAATAATCTAAATACACATTTTTGATAAATAAAAACTTGAAAATTAATAAGTTTTTAGGACAGTATTACTTAAGATACATATGCCTTAAAGCGACATTTTGTTAACTTTTAATCAATTTAATTAATTTCTATAATAGATGATAAATCAAAATCATGACATATAATAACGTTGATAACTAATAAGTAAACAAATAATATTTGTAGTAAAAAAAAAAAAAAAAGAATGAAAAACTAAAAACACGCGAAATATAAATCTAAAGACTCCCAAACACTCCGGCTTCAAAATCGCTACTTCCGTAAGCCGTAAACTCTCTTTCTAAACACTTTCCAATGCCTGTCGACACCACCGCCGTTATCGCCTGGTTCGCCTCATTCCTCCTCCCTCCGCCGTCACACGCCACCATCAGTCTTACTTTACCTTCGTTTTTTCTTTTTCAGGGGATCGGGAGAAGATGGGCAACTAGGACTTGGAGACAACGAAGAGAAAGAATGGGTTTCCTCCATCACCTCCCTTAATTCCGCCACCGTCCGTTCCGTCGTCGCCGGCAGCCGTAACTCTCTCGCTATTTGCGATGACGGAAAGGTAATATACCCATCACGCACCCTACACTCTGTTTCCTTTCTCGTTGTTATCACTAATACTATTTCTCTAACCGGAATATGCTCTGTGCACTCGAAATATCCAAAAAGTAACTTCACAAGAGATGATCGGAGTACCCTTTTGTTCTTACAAGTTATCTTTACAAATACCATCTTCAAAAGCTAGAATCTTTTGAAAAACGTATAAGATGACGATAGTAATCACTGTGCTAGGGTTTCGCTTTGAAATTGAAATTGAATTTGAATTCGATCTGTATCACTATCAGTTGTTTACGTGGGGTTGGAATCAAAGAGGAACTTTAGGGCATCAACCATCAACTAAAACCGAAAACATCCCCAGTCAAGTTAAAGCTCTTGACAATGTCAAAATCATTCAGGTAAAACCACAATTCACTCAAGAACAAAAAATTAGTTTTATAATTGTGGATTTATCTTACTTAATCCATGGGCTGTTGATTCAGGCAGCCATTGGTGGGTGGCATTGCTTGGCTGTTGATGATGAAGGCCGTGCTTATGCTTGGGGTTAGATCATTGCCCTTATCTCTTTTATGTTCATCTTTGATTTCAACTTTTTCAATTTTTAGTTCATTTCAAATTAAAATCATCACTAAGTTTAGAAGAAGTGAATAATATATATTGTGATTACAGGTGGAAATGAATATGGACAATGTGGAGAAGAGCTTGAGAAGAAAGGTGAATCGGGTAGAACTCTGAGAAGAGATATTGTAATCCCTCAAAGATGTGCATCAAAGCTTTCAGTTCGCCAGGTTTATATTTCATTTTAATAAATAAAATAAAAATAATTTACTATACTTTAAATTATAAACAACAAATAAATAAATAATTTTTTTTTATATAGGTAGCTGCTGGTGGCACACATTCTGTAGTTCTTACACACGAAGGACACGTATGGACATGGGGTCAACCATGGCCTCCAGGCGACATGTACAAAATCACAAAATCTCATTTAATTAATTTAGTTTAAATCATTTAATGTTGAATTTATTTATCATAATTTATGTCGTTTATTATTAATGTAGAAAACAAATTTCAACACCTGTTAGAGTACAAGGTTTGGAAAAAAGTCAAACTGATTGCAGTTGGGGCTTTTCATAATTTAGCTCTTCTAGAAGATGGAAATTTATGGGTTTGGGGGAACAACGAATATGGACAATTAGGAACAGGGGACACTCAGCCACGATCACAACCTGTTCCTGTTCAAGGATTATCGGGACTCAAATTGGTTTATTTATTTATATAATTTTGAATTTCTTTATTTTAATATAATTTTGAAATTTCGTTTATTTAATTTAATCGTAAATGTACTTTCTTTTTCAGATTGATGTTGCTGCCGGTGGTTGGCATTCTACAGCTTTAACAGATGAAGGAGAGGTAATTAACTATTAACTAATTAATATTCCATTTATACAACAAAATCATATTTTATAAATTGTTGGAAAAAATATATAATCCATACAATTTTGAAAAGGTATACGGGTGGGGAAGAGGGGAACATGGAAGGCTTGGATTTGGGGATGATAAAAGTAGTAAAATGGTGCCTCAACAAGTTCAGCTTTTAGCCGGGGAAGATATTATCCAGGTGTCATGTGGTGGGACCCATTCGGTTGCGTTGACACGCGATGGGAGAATGTTTTCTGTAAGTGTTTTGTTTGTGTTATATGGAAGATTTATAATGTAGGTTGACCGAAGGTGACATTGGAGTTGACTTTTTTTTTATTGATAGTTTGGACGTGGGGATCATGGAAGATTGGGGTATGGTAGAAAGGTGACAACTGGACATCCGTGTGAAGTGCCAATTGATTTAAAGTCACCAAAAGATGGTGAATTGGGGCGTTGGTGTGCTACATATGTGGCGTGTGGGGGCCGCCATACGCTTGCGCTTGTGAAATGGAAGGATATGGAGGTTGATGAGATGATTTGAAGGATGTTTTTATGATGATTCTCTTGTGTGAGTGATGAGAGATCATTTGTGTTTTTGATGTATTACTGAATTTTTTATATATATATGGAGTTTATTAAAGTTGGAATGTTTGGATTTTCGACATGGTATAATCTATTATAAAGAAATATATAATGGTCATATTGGAAGCTCAAAGTACATCAAACTGTGTATGTGTGTGGTGCCTAAAGTGATGTGTAAGGAAAATAAAGATGTTATTTGGGTATTCAATTGTTTACAAAAAAAGTAGATCTTGAACCAATTTCGATCTCCTTCCAAGGAAGCTATGTTTATCAAACAAGTGGAAACAAGAGTTTCGATTCACTTGGATATGATAGTTCAATTTACAAAATCAAAATGCTATTTCTTCGCAAAAATGTTATTGTCATCTTATATTTAGAAATGATAAATCACATAATCTAGACAATGATTCAGGTGAATATGATAGTTCTTGCGCATTTTTTTTTTTTTTGTGTTTTTATCGATATTCTAATACCCAAACACTTTTTTGTCCGCTTGATGATGATTGGGATGGAATTGAGTTCTTGAACAAGTGTGTCAAAATCATCCTATCCCACACACCTTTACACGACACTAAGTCATCCTCCAAAATCATCCTTCCATGAACTATATGAACTTCATGATCAGTTTTAGAAAATCTAAGTCTTAAAAAATTCCAAAACTTACATAATAATGTTGCATTGAAGGTGTTTAGACTACCAATATCATATGTGGATTACATCTCCTTATATTGTTTGTAAACTTAGATATTAATAGTGTACCCATGGTAAGCTATTGCATCTATCGCTTTCCTTCATGCTTTGAAATATTATAGATTCTCTGTTAATTGTAAATCAATGAGAGGTCATTTTTATAAGTCTCCATCTATCCTTCTTCTATATATGATTTTAAAACTCATATTCTTATGTTTCCATCGGCAACAATAAACATTAAGCCAGTAGGTGTCATATCACATCTTTATTTTTTCTTTCACCTTACAAAACTGGTGGATGTCTTACCACACCCACAACAATACACATTTGTATGCACAAAGTACCACCTTTGAGGGTTATACCGTGCGGTGAAACCATAACGCGCGACAAGCTTACCACAGTGGATAAGGGGGGTCAGTGCAGTGTTTACCGCACACCGCAGTGCCACCTCACATACTGCGGTGTGCGGTGTCATGTGCACCGAGGGGGGGGGGGGGCCTTAGGGGTGAGAATGAATCGGTTTTGGGGCATAACATAACAACGTTTCACACATACTTCTATTGGATTATAGGTGCAAATACTTAATCGAGATCAAAGGATAAAGTAAGGACACATCATCATCATGTCATAGTCAAGTTCACTGAAAGAATGAAAATCAAGATCAAAATCTACAAGGTACCTCTGGATCCAACTAGTCGAGGGCGCCAATGCGCAATGCATGTTGACTTTTTTCCTTCTTACCAATGTTAGAACTCTTTGCAATGAACATATCTCATGAATAAAATAATAACAACTTTTAATCGAACACTTATGTGATTGTCGATGTATATACCAAAACGAACCAAATTCAAGAAGTATTTTTAAGAGAAACCCCCTTTTTCATCCATTTATCATGGAGATATCCTCTATTTTGAGAAGATGTTAGTATCAAAAAACCAATGAAGGCTCACCAATTTGGTCAAGATTATCGACTAATCAGTAATTATTTAATATTTATTCAAATTAGGTAGCAACTATCTTTATTGGTCAAGATTATCGACTAATCAGTAATTATTTAATTATTTATTCAAATTAGGTAGCAGCTATCTTTATTTAAAACTAGACGAATGTCCGCGCGTTGCGCAGAAACACCTATATAGTTGAAGTCTTTACAAATATATGTTTTTTTAAAATATAGTAATAACGTTGTTGTTAAATTTGATATAATAATTTATATACTAAATTGATATAATATATTGATTATTTTGAATTATATGATAATATATATATCTATTATAACTGCATAATCTCAATCGTTTGAATGACTTCTATCCGCGAGTTACACATGAATAAAATTAAATATAATATATGGTTTAATGTTATTTATAGTTGTTGTTATTGTTAATTAATTTTTTAAAATTTGTTTGCTTAATGTTTTAATTTCTATCATTATAATTATTTAAAACATCAAACATTGTTTTTATATTTTAAAGGTAACAATATAATCGTTTATATAAAGTTCTTTTTAACTATTGTTATTGTAAGTTATTTTAAGCTACTTATTTGAAAACTTTTAATGATTATAAAAACATCTTTAGGAAAAGTTTTAGTTAAATTGAGATTACAATTTAGTTTTTGCATTTATCGCTACAATTTATCACTTTTAACTATTTACAAAATATTCTTTGGTTTTTTAAGTGGAACTGAAATTTATATTTAAGTTGACATTGTAATGTTATATTTAAATTAACAATTTAAGTATTTTGTCCAAACTGTTCAAAAGTTGTAGCTTTAAACTGATAATGGTTACATACAACAACATATTAAATCTAATAAATTAAGTATAATATGTTAAAAGTTAAAGACATAACTTTATAAGTAGAAGTAAATATATTATTTTAAAATTGAAATTTAGTATATTTATCATTACACTTTAGGTTTGATATTTATTTAACCTTATTAATCAACTTATAATCATTATTAGAAAGACACTACAATTAATCACTTTTAACTGTTTACAAAATATTCTTTGAGTTGTTTAAGTTAAACTAAAATGTATATTTAAGTTGACCCAGTAATGTTATATTCAAATTAATAATTTAAATATTTTATACAAATTGTTCCAAAATTGTATATTTAAAATGATAATGGTTTACATCCAACAATATATTATAACTAATAACTTAAGTATAATATGTTAAAAGTTAAAAAACATAACTTTATAAGTAGAAGTAAATATATTATTTTAATATTGAAATTTAGTTTATATATGATCACACTTTAGATTTGATATTTATTTACCTTATTAACCAACTTATAATTATTATTAGAAAGAAATTGAAAAGTCATGAGAGTTTCAAATGAATGTGGTGAAAGAAAAAATGCTTCCTTTATAATATAGTATGATATGATAGGATATCTATTAGTATCTTTTAATTTATGATAGGAATATCTCGGAACACTTATATATACGGTTTCGATATGGTTTTTTTTTTATGATTAATAAAAGTATTGAGTCTTGAACTTGGTTTTGGAGACCTGCCTATTTTTCGAATTACAAGCACTATGGGTTCGTGACACTAAGTTCATGTTCCTATTTGAGAACACTGAGCAGGTTTGTACTATTTTTATTTTTCCTCAAGTGTTTTTTAGATCAATTTTCATGTAGTTATCTCATATTCTTATGTATTGCAATTCCATATGTTTGGTTGTTGTTCCTAAAGGTGGAAACATAGGCCATGTGAATAAAAATTTTCAAAAACCAAACATACTCTCCAAGTAAAGTGTTAGAGCAGATCAAGGCGAGCACTTTTATTTGGATCAAGAATAAAGCGAAAATTTCTAGCTTGGATTGGAGTGCTTGGTGTTTCTCTCCTACGATCGGTCCATAATCCGGTTTTGTTTTCATAATGTATCCCTTCACTTGGTGTTTTGGTTAACTTGTACCTAGCATCTTGCTAGTATCTTTTATTTTATAATTATAAAAAAAATTGTCGTTCAAAAAAAAATGTGTCCGCTTAGATGATGAAATCAGTAAGATGTGATTAGTGAAATTATCTTTCAAGACAAAAAATAAATAAATAAATAAATAAAGTCTTTAGGCTTGAGGGAGTGGCTTCGCCTCTAAACTCGTTATAAGTGTTAGTACCTCTCCCATCAAGATGCTAAAACACTTGTTACAATTCTCTCGCCATGTAAATAGCGAGAGGAGAGAAGAGAGAGAAACTTGGATACTGGGTTTTTATTGGTTAAAACTTTTTTTTTTTTCTAAAATAAAACTCATTCAACTACCACACCACCACTCCCTACCTTTTGCAACTTAGATGCTACAATTTTTCCATCCTATGTGGCTTCAAAAAATTTGACATGACATCAAAAAATCTGATATAGCAACATGCTAAGCATGGTACCATTCCCACCGGCGGTACGTTTACCATGATCTTGGGAAAAGTAGAGTGTACTCAAATAGCTTCAAAACAGAAACAGAATTAAGATAATGATTGTTAGAACATGAGAGGATATAAAGAACTCAAGTATAAGATGTATTTCAGTCAACCTACCGAGTATTCATATAATCTTATTACTAGTGTTGTTCTTAGTAGGTTCACTAGGCTCAAGAAAAAGAGAATCCTTTCTTCATCCGCACTCGATTAACTTATGCTTGTTACTAGATTACTGGTAAAGCTATAGCTGGAGTTGGGGTAAATCAGAATTGCAAATCAATTGTAAAGTCAAAATCATTTTATTAAGGGGGTGTTTGGCTTAGCTTTTTAGAAGCCAAAAGTCATTTTTCGAAAAGTTGCAAAAAGTCAGGTTTTCCTGACTTTTTCAAAAAGTTGATTTTCCTTCTATCCAAAATCCAAAAGTAGTTTTTAAAAGTCTTTTGCCAAACATCTTTTAGATTTGATCTTTTCCTAAAAGGACTTTTGGCCTCTCAAAAGCTAAGCCAAACACCCCCTAATATCGTTAAACCCCCAAAAGTACAAACAATAAAAAGTGGGCTTAACTGAAGAATGAAGAGACTCAAAATGGAACAACGCTGTACTTTCTTTCAAAAGAAATTATACGCAATTTCCATGGAAATTCAGGCGACGATTTTGAAGCAAGCGAACCCTAAGTTGTTACACATTGAATTAATATTTAAGAAGGACAGAACAAACAAATCCGTTGTAGTCTAGTTGGTCAGGATACTCGGCTCTCACCCGAGAGACCCGGGTTCAAGTCCCGGCAACGGAAATGCTTTTTATATAAAAAAAAACAATAGATTTTGAACTCAAAATTACTACGAGTCTACGACTATTTTTAACTTTTTTTTCTCGTAACTTCACTTTTAGATGCTGATTTTTCGGAGGTCTTCTCTTCTCGTATTTTCTCCAATCTTTCATAACTCCCGAT